ATCGAACAAATAAACGAATACGAACATAAACGAATAAAAAAATTATTGTTCATTAAAGAATGTAGCTTATTCATGTTCGTTCGTGTTTGTTCATTTAAATGATAAACGAACACAAATTAACAAACATAAACTCTTTAAACTCACAAATGAGAAAATTTACAGATGTTTACAAAACACTTACAACTCACAAGAATACTCTCTAAACTCTTTAGTATTGGGAGAAATAAATAATTTTGGATGATTTTGAAGCTAAATGGGTTCGAGTATTTATAGTTGAAGCTTAAGGACTAAACTTGTAAATACCCTAAAGTGTGCATGGACTAATATGCAATTTCTCCATTACCATTTTCAATAATTTAATTGCACCGAATTCGGTGCCCAATTCACCAAATTTGACGCCCCCATTCTTGATTTTTAACGCCCCCAACTTTGACTTTTCCAACATGTTCATGTTCGTTCGTTTAACTTTAATCGAACAAATAAATGAATACGAACATAAACGAATAAAAAAATTATTATTCCTTAAAGAATGTAGCTTGTTCGTGTTCGTTCGTGTTTGTTCATTTAAATGATAAACAAACACAAATGAACAAACATAAACTAACTGATGTAAACGAACATAAACGAATACAATAAACGGACGTAAACAAACACAAAAGAACATAAATGAACAAAACAAACGAACGTAAATGAACATAAACTGCAACAACAATAATCACATAAAATTCATTAGTATAAGTTGTAACTTCATAGTTAATTTGTATTTAATTGTTTTGGGTTTTTTTATTTTTATTTAAAATTAATTGAATTTTAAAATATTAATGGGTATCAGATTAAAATTTATTAGACCTTAAAATTTTAAATGGGTGTAGAGAGATTGAGTAAACATAAATGAATGAACATTAAAGAACGAAAGTACACGAACATAAACAAGCATAAACAAACGAAAACGAACGAACATAAACGAACATAAATGAACATAAATGAATGAACATAAACAAACATATTATCGTTCAAGAAAATAAATGAACAAACAACCCTTTTAAACTTTTGTTCATCTTTTTCCTTCACATGTGTTGCATCTTAATAACAAGTTTTTGCAGTCTACATCAATGGATCGACCACACGGCAAAGACAAACTATCATCTCTTTTAGCAGTTAAAAGCAGCAACAGCTCAAACTATCTCAGAGATATTCTTCCTGCCAATCTTTCATGTTTCACTCCTTGTACGGATTTGAAAAGGTTGAAGCGATCAAGTGATCCAATGACCAAAGAGAAAAGGTTGCTAATTACCGGAAAGGGGAAAATGCAAGGCCCTACTTATAGAGCATGATGAATTGCAGCATGATAGAAGTTCCAGTGTTAATGCATCAGATGCCCAAAGATCAGGACCAAGAGATCTCTCTCCTACAGTAAGTACAATGAAACACGACAATTATTCTGGTGTTACTTAAATTTTGAATGCTAATGTTCATTTACTACATAAGGATGCTAGAGCTGCTGGTGTGGATGCTAAGTTTCTCGAGCATAAAAACAATGATCTTCAAAGTGCTGAACAACGTGGTGCCAAGGAATCAAAAGGTTCCGCTTTTCTGATTCGGGTAAAATGTATCATTTTTTTCTTCTAAATTTTTTTACGTATGTATTCAGCAGTCGAAATATTTAGTTGTATTGATATTTGTTTTGATTCTATGCATCAACCATGTAAAGAGAAGTTCCATACCCTTTTTAGTACCGACGCAAGCCAATATGGTAACTCTAGAACATATTGATTTATTGAAATGGGAAGGTGTAATGTGAAACCAATGGGAAAAATTCAGGACTGTAAGGTTACAAGAGCAGCAAAGTCTATAAAGTTTTGGAATGAATTTAGGAGTTCAGAAACCGATCTATGAAGCCTCTAGAGAAATCAAATTGAAAAGACATGCTTTCATTCGTTGTTTATTTGTCGAACTATCTTCCCTGTAGTGATTTCTGTTAATGTTTCTTTTGCTGCTTTCCTCTTCAAATTCACAATACAAGTTGGTTTTCACTTTTTTGATGGTGTTGTGTAGCTGATTTGGGTTGGGGAATTTTTTATGGCCTTCAGGTGAAAGAGAAAGTCCAGCAGAATACATGCAGTTTGTGGGTTATATGAAGGAAATGAAGTCCACAGTGATGAAGATTGGTAATCTTTTACAACGCATTGTGGGATTATTTTCAGGACCTGAGAGGCTTCCTCTTCTTGAGAAGTATGCATCTACTCTAAAATGGCTGTCACCTAAAAAAATAGCTTTAAATTTGAAGGTTGCATTTCTACCACAACGGTTCTTCGATTAGCCGAGCAATTAATTACATCGTCAGTTAGGCATAGCAATAGCATACTCGAAAGCATCAGATAATTTGCTAGTTTATCATACCTACACCATTGATTTTATTTAGCCTATCCATTCATTTCCTTCCCCCTTGTTAAATTGTAACCATTATGGGTGTTACTTTTTACTAGATCTTACTCTCTGTTAACGGATTCAAGGATTACGTACCTGGGAGATATCGTTCTTTGTATGAGCAGTACCTCGAAACAAAAGAAATGCCTGGCAATCAGAGGAATTAAACTTATCTTGTCGGAACAGTTACATAAGGGACGCCATTAACCAAATTGATGCTCGGCTAGGGGTCGAAGTGAAAGCTTGAGACTTCGCCTCGGCATTATACTTTCTAGATCAATGATCTTGGAGCAGTATCAGGAAGGAGAAGAATCATATAATCGCAACTGTCGTGCCAGCTATTGGAAACTTTTGGATGCGTAGCCGAGCAGCTAAGTTGAACATTCATGTATAGAAGAAAGAAACTTTCAGGCAATCTTCCCCTAACTATTTGTTGGTACTAATGCGATTATGAAGGATTGGACATGGCGACCACTGCCTTTTTTGTGTAAATCGAAAACAAGCCAACTAACTTTTGTTCAAATATGTTTCCGTATGGAAACGAGTATGCTCCAAATACAAACGAGTAATAAAATAATTTTGATTTATGCTAATTAACTTTCAAATGATTAAAGGCTAAATTATACTTTTCATCACTCAACTTTAACCATATTTCTTCATTAAATATAAAAAGAACTAATTGGATCGTTCTAGTTTTGAATTGCTCTATTTTTTTATCACTATTAAGTGTTGTGCGGAGTTGACTCATCTCATCTTTTATTTTTCAAATTTTAAAATTTCTTAAAATTATATTTTTTTCTCGTTATCGGTGATACCACTTTTCTTTGAGTTTCATTCTTATATCATGCCTCGTTTTTTTTTCGAGTTTCATTTTCTTGTCATCATTGGCATCGTTTTTCTTTAGAGATCAACGAATCGTGACTAAATCATCGGTAGAAAATTTGTTTATGTTCGTTTATTTATTAAATGAATGAAAATGAACAAGATTTTCTATTTGTTTAAGTGAATGAACAAGCATGAATAAAGGACTTGTTAGTTCATTCATGTTTGTGATCATTTGATAATCCGTTCATTTATGTTTGTTTAAATTTATTCACAAACGTATTTTTGATCCAATAGCTCATTATCCTTTTCATTTAACAATCCAAAAATCTTAACAATTCCTTTACCTCAAGGAATTCCTACATGCAATTATTCGGTTGTGAATTTCGAATATGATTATCTGTCCGTCACCAATATATTTCATTTAGAAAGTCCCTTGAAAACACACGCTCGTGTGTTCACGTGTCGATATAAATATTTCGAAAAAAAACATTAAAAATTTTCAACATATTTCAAATGCCTTACCTGAGTGGTAACAATTTTGACGGATGATATTTTTGCCTGTTCATGGATTAAATTAGACAGAACTCGGGCAATTTCAGCCTATAAATATGTTTACCTATTTCATCTGCAGGGTCTAATTATGGTTTTAGTCCCAGGGATTTAAAAAGGGTTAGATTTATGTTTCATTTACCTTCAGAGGGAACCTCAAGAAGGAAAAACCAAGCCAGCCTACGAATTCCGTGACAGTATCAGAGGGGATAGTTCTTCTGGCAAAGTCTCCAAGCATGTATACGATGTCGGAAAACACCTCGACCCTGTTAAGTTCGAGCACCGCCTTGACGTACGACGACCCCATCGCCCTCACTTGACTGTGCTCTGTCTTCCCTCGATACCCTACCGCAACATCCAGGGTGGTAAAGTCCATGGTATACACATCCCAATTCCTCACCTTCAGTGTCAACACCAAAGATATATCTAGTGTCACGATGGGCTTAGTATGAATTTGCATATGGTTTAAGTGCACCCGTGCGATCTTAATTTCGGGATCCGACGGCCAGAATACCAACACAAAAGCAACTGCGTATAATACACGTCGTCGATCTCACCATTGGATTCCCCTCAAGTGGTGGTAGTAGGGGAAAACAGCATAGTTTTGATTGGGAGACGATTCGGATGGCGAAGGGGTGTGGTAGAAGGACGCTGGCATTGATTCTTTTCGAGCCGATGATGGTTCGAATTCGAAGAGGCCATTGATGCGTTATTGAGGATAATGTTACTCGAGAGGTGTGTGTGTAAACGTAGAGGAGGATAGTGCAATGTTAAGAGGAAGGTGGATTCCTTGTCTGCTTTAAGTATGTGTAAAGTGTATATAATATATAATTGTAGTATAAATATATAATAGGGTAAATATCACTTTTGGTACCTATCTTTCGCATTTGTGTATAATGTGGTACTCTTTCTTTTCCTTTTACAATTGGATAGCTAACTTTTTTTCAATTACATTTTAGTACATTTTAATTAAAGATATAATATGTATTTAAAGATTCAAATGCCGTATTTCATTGTACATTGTAATGAGTATTTTTGTATCACATAATTATGTTATGTCCAACACGATCGTACATGAATATTTAATCATGATCCGTTTAATGTATAAAAAATATAATACCCATACCAAAAGAATTAATGCTTTAGAACAAAGGGCTTTTGTTTTCTAAAACTTTATCGTATCCCACAACGGGCGTTCGTGTTGATTTCTTAGTATACAATGCTCTTATTCAACTAAGTTACTATGACTTTTATGCCCAACGATGCTGCCGTGCCGTTGCATTGCCGCAACGGGCTCGTTGCATCTGGAACACCGGAAAGATGGAGCTGCCGCACATCGTGTTCGTAGGCAGTAGTAGCAATACCTGTGAATATGAAATTGTAATCAATTATAACTTATAAGCAAGCAACACTCGAAAATTATCCAACACCATGAAAATGCATATATTTCAATCTTCCTTTTTCTTTTTTGGTCGGCTCAATTCGTACATATTTGAGCTAATCGTTCATCAAGTACGGCAACAAATACTAGAAGGGTGTCGGGAGAATAGGATAGAGTTCAGCTAACCTACCTGTGCTGACAAGGAAGGGCGAGATACGGAAGTGTCGGACTTGTCCGGCAAATGGGACAAGTAGAATCATCCTCTGCAGAACCTGAAGACTTGTTCTTCGAGAACGGCTGAAGAAAACTTTTGACCGTCAACGAATTAAGAAGTGGGAGAAGCAGCAGCAGCATTTCCTGCGTCATAGCAAAGCAAATGCAACTATGAAAATACATTCATCACAGGCGAAAATCTGGGAAAAACTATCAGTGCCCTTTTAACGATACTACTATGCCGAGACATGTCGAAACATAAGAGATAAAAAGCCATTTTAACAATACAGCTGAGGAATAGGTTTTCCGTAAATTCTGCATAATATGCACCTCGGCTACGGTCTTTATTCTGGTGGAGACTATCCTACAAACAACTACCAATGTAAATTTCAAAAGTAATAGGACATGTAAATGTTTTCGAGCCAAACATTGAGATGCTGGCTTAAAAAGGAAATATTACCGAAAACTCATTCCACACCAACTGGCGATTCATGTACTCAAAGCTAACTGCTCGGTTCATATTAGGGGTTTCATAGACAAGTCTTGCTCTTAAAGCTCTTTCGATGAGGTTTCTATACCTGCATTAGATGAAGAGATGAAAAGGGTCGATGTGAATTCCTGAAGGTAATCAAAGAAAAACAGGTTTCCCGAACCAGATAAAAGTTCCTAATCACCAAGCATGCATGTTCGATAGAATACAGTAGTATATATCAACCCAAAAACCACACAAACCAATCAATTTCAGACTGTAAAGATGATATACGCAAACTTGATACGAAACATTGTAAGTCAAATCACTATGCCTGTTATTCTTGCTTCTTTCCTTTGTATGTTTTTATATTTTCCTCTAACACCAGTGAGACTCGGATAAACATGTTATTAAATACTTAAAACCTACCTTCCTGTGTAAAGAAATATGAGTAGGTTGCCAAATGATGCCGCCTTATAAATCCCTTCGATACGTTGCATTAAACCCCAAACTCGCCGTGCCAATGGCCTCTGGAGAAGGAAAATGAGAATCCACTTCAAATTGTGTCCAAACTCTTCCCAGGGGAATACATGAAGAAGAAGAAGAAGAAAATAAAAAGGGACAAAGGATACATAGAATCTGCACCTGCTCAGAATCACCCCATCGACGAAAAGCAGAGAATGACTGTAAACGAGCCCAAATATACTGACCACCAACCGCGGCAATGCAATACCACATCTTCTGAGCAACAGTTAGCCCCGGCCCTTCCAAACCCGTTCTTACTGCAGAAATATAAGAGTAGCACAAAGTAAGGCCATTGATAAGGCTGCACGAGAATAAAACAACATACGAGCAAAGAAAAGACAACTTAGTTTTGATTAATAACACTGGTATATTGCAGTCATAAATTACTACAAACAACAACGCAACTAGTTATAAATGGCAACCAAATAGTACCTGATTTGGTTGGCAAACTAACATGTCATGTTACTCAGACTCATGTGTGAGTGTCGGGTACGGGTACATGATATGCTTAGTTTTTTTTCTAGGTTTTTTTATGTATTTGGAATAGGGGTGAGCAAAACTTGACTCGACTCGAAAAACCGATCTTTTCGACTGGACTTGGCTTGAATTGACTTTGAGTCATAATTTCATAAACTCGACTCGAAAAAATTTCAAGTTTAAGTCGAGTTATAAAATATAACTCGAAATAGGAATTAGTGGATTGGTTTCCAAGTTTAAGTTGAATCCCTCGACTCTGTATGATATAAGTAGATCATATATGAAAAAAATATGAAGAAACATATATGTATGATTATAGAAAGCCATTTAAATTGGAATCAAATAATACCATTATTATAAATATTTATAATTAAATTTAAATAAAAACTCGAACAACTCGACTTGAATTTTTTTACTCAACTTGATCGAACGCTCACCCCTAATGTGGAGGGTTCTTGCCTTCTTGGAGAGTCAGATCCCATATTAATGTTTGATGATGTGTCAGTCATTCACAAAAGAATGATGAGTCGGAGAAACATCGTATTCGTAGCACAATAAAGATAAGTCCAAACCTTCTTACCTTTTCCTCTTATTTCCATGGCACGTTCATCTCGGTATCTCAGATTCATAAGAGCAATTCCTGGAGTAGGTTTATCTACCCAAATTGAGAACCTCCAAATGAGAAACTCAAGGAAAGCATCAAGTTCAGGTTCATACTGAAATAACATTCCTGGCTAACCCCAACAAAACAAAGAAACAAATTCAGACAATTGCATAGCACAACTTCATTTTTTTTATAGACCATGAACGGATTCAATAACAAAAAGATACCTTCATCAAGGAGAAAACTTTAACCAGCTGTTCTTTCAACATAGCTGACATCTCAACATCCAATCTAGTGGCATCAAACTGATTAACTCTAGATATCGATATCAGTATCGTTGAATGCTGCAACAATTGATTAAGAACAGTTCATAAAAGAGTCTACAAAAAGAATTCCATCCTTGAAATTTATATAATCGTAATCTATGCGCCGAAAGACCAAAACTATTTCTACAAATATCTTACCTACAACACTAATGAGACTCAGCTAGATTTAAGTTAAAAAAAAAGTTTCCCATGGATTCTTAAGGCCAATAATCGTTAATTGAACAAGTAAAAGGAAAATTAACAAAGGGTAATCTCTTTAATTGCTCAACTTAATCAAAATTTTCACACACACAAAAAGAATTACCATATTGTAATTCTCACACAAAAGTACAGTAACAGAGTGCTACCCATAAATTTTTCCCAATATCATAATGCAATTACATTCAACATTAGCAAAACTATACCTTGATACCCAAAATTCAAAATTCTCATACAAAATAAAATTAAAAACCACCCAGAATTTTCCCCAGATAGATTTCAGTTAAATAAACAAGTTCCCGTGAAATTTTCCCAAAAAATCATTAATTGAACGGTTAAAAGGAAAATGAACATAGGGTAATCTCCTTTATTGCTCATCTTCAAGTCTACAACTAATATTTCACAAACAATTTAAGAAAAATAAGATTAAAAGAGCTAACCTGATGAGAAAGAGAAACGGAGTGCCAGTGAGGAAGTAACTTTTGGTAAGAATTAATCCATGCATCTTCTCGCGGTGCTGGTGCTGGGGGTGGTAATGGATTGCTTCCAAAACTAATCATTTGATGAGATTAAAATATGATTTTTCCTCCCTCTTTTTAGAAAACAATAGTTGATGAGATTTGTTTGTTGTCGAAGTCTAGAAGATGGGGTTTGCCTCTTTCATTTTTCTCCTGGTCTCTGCTCTGTTTCAGCAATTGATGCTAACAGCTTCGAGAGGTGGACACCACTCGCAATTTGCAACTCATTGATTGCATATAGGTTTAATTTGTAAATTGGTAACAAATTATACCTGAACTTCTAGATTGGTCCTTAAAGTATTATTCTGTCATAAAAGCTATTAAGCTATCATATTTTACAAATGACCCCAAAAAGTTGATGTTAACGAAAATTCGACAACTTTAAGGGCATCCATGATATGTATAGGTCAACACATAATTAGGGATCATTGAATTATTCGAAAACGGTAGATTCTAATCCGAATCGATTTTATAGAATTAGATTTTCTTTTAAAAAATCAGTTTCAAGTTTAATAAGATTAGGTTTTATGAATGAAAAAAACGAGTCAAATCAAATTTAGATGAAAAATCTTTAACCCAATAATAATAAAATCTTCTACTATATATTTAGGAATAATTGTTATAATAATTCTCATTATATGTTTTCTCCCAAATAAAAACATACTCTTTGAATAACTATATATCTCATATTACTAGATTTATTGGCATGGTCTTGTAAAGCAATCAACTAGCAGTACAAAAGTATTTGATTTTCCAACCTAACCCACTTCCTGTGAAAGGCAAGCCACAGGATATTGAATCCATACAACCCTTTTATAATTTCCCAAGTACAACCTTTTTGTTATAAAAAAAATCGAGTGAACTTACGAGTTACGACCACTTCACACCGCATCATCCAATAAGTTCGGAGTTCGAATTTCAACATCTACAACTTTTTTCTTCAATACTACACCTTTTTTTCAATAACGTGTTACGTATATATAAAAAAGACCGATATGACCAAGCAAACTTCATAACACTTTGCACGGCATTATTCAAACACAAACAAAAAAGTAAAGAGAGAAACCCACAAGATCATCTGGTTGAGTCTCCCCTTTCAGCAACACCGATTATCAGCAATACGCTAGATCCGGTCACACCACTTTTCCCAATGTCGACCACATCGGATTTTTGGATCAGGCAAGCAACCATTCAATTGCTCACCAATGCTTGCTCTTGACAGTCGTTCAATAAGATATAGTACCAGGTAGAGGAGTAATCAAGAACATATTCTCGAGAATACAACTATTGCAAACACAAGGCAAATAGATGTGTCGCATGCAAGTCATAGCAACATGGAGGAAGTTGAGAACCCTGAAACCGGGTCAAAAGGGTTGTGATTCAAAACCCTGTAAATAGTCTGACTTAGTTTAACGAACCAGAAAAAGACTTGAGTTATAGAATCTAAATGGAATTGATACAGAACAGGCTTACCGGAAAATTAGATTCTCTAAGAACAGGAGGATGATTTCTGAACCCAAACTTGTTTCTGCAAGTCAATAGGGAAAAAACATGAAACCAAAGGTGAACAAAAAGATGACAGATTTTGCAGCTGATGCATCATAGAATTCATTCACCTCATGGGCTCCGGAGCTTGTAGGAGCTCCTCTTTTGGAAGGCTTGACCTCATTTGATATGACAGATCCATCATCTTTAATAGTATGGGCTGCTGGGCCCCGACCAAATTGCCGACTGGAACCTGCGTGAATGGGGTCATCAATATGATATTCTAGTACCTCTGTGCGTGACAACGGTACTGAATCAATCAATTATGGATAGACTAAAAACATTTTTCCAACGGAATATTACATCCAATGCTTCCATTAGCTGTCAAGATTATAGGGGCAGAAAATGAGGTAAATTAGCCTGCCCCACTTCTTGCAAATTCAAAGAGAACAACTTGATATAAGAACTGTATCCCAAATCCATCCACACTTGCAGACACCAGGATATACATGTTATGAAGCACTAATACCTTCCATGGAACTGCGAGAAGACTGTGCTGATTGTAACACAAACGGTGTCAGACGTTCCTCATTTGATTGTGAAAAATCAGCACGAGGGACCCATACACCACGATCAGGTCCATCTCTATTTCTTGTACGTTTTTCATGCTTCTCACTTCCAGAACCTGAATCATGAAGTCACATTTTTTATGAACTTATCTGAAACTCTTTTTGCATCACCATCAGATTTCAATGCAGGCATTTCAATAGGAACATGACCATTCATACCCATTCGTGTATTAGTTGGCTGGGGAAGTTTTTTGACTGTGTCTGGACTCATAGCTTGAGTTTTCTGCTGAGGCTGAACTGCTTCTGAAGATTGACTTTGGCCTGCTTCATTTCTCAAAAATATGCTCCTTATTAACTTTCCACCAACCTTGCGTCTTTGACCCTGTCCTGAAGCAGTTGGACCAGGTGTATTTGCTCCAGGAGATAATGCACCCTGCTGTTCAGACACACCCTCTGGCACCTGAGAATTAAAAAAAGGAACATAATTTGCATACGAAAAATTGAAAGAACCAATTCAAAATTCAACTCCATAAACAAACATAAAATGATACCCATCCCAATATATATAAAACTTAAATATATAACAATGGACACCATGAGTGAGTGGAAACAAGACAAACTAAAGGCAAATATCTTACATTAGGAGCCTCTCGGTCTTTTGGTTTCACGAGAAGGATTTTTTTCTTGCCAGAGTCGGCAGAAAAAGTAATTCCACTTACAGAACGATCAATGCCGCGGACTGCAACACCACTTATTATTAAGCAAAAGCATGGGAAAGGAAACACAATGAAAAAAGAAAAACCAAGAACCAAAACAACCTGCATTCTAAGGTACTTAATCTATCACCAAAACAAGATATGCATGTTTGCAGACGACTTTGAACACTCAAGAGATTGATATTAATTTAATCCAGTAACACACACTAGAACAGCATGAGCCATTTTTTTGTGTGAAAAACAATATATAACTTGGCTTTTTCACTAGAACTGTGTCTTGCAAATATTCACAAAGATAACAATAACAAGCTGGGTAAATGCTGATACAACTCTATGTGGATCATAACCTCTGCTAAGACTGTTTAAACCCTCACCAGTTCCATTCTCTCTTATTTCTTTTGCGACAGAAGTCACGGATTGATCCTCTTGCTTGGATGCTACAAAAAAATTGGACTTTTTTGCACCTTTTGCACTGTCTTTTAGAATATACTGCCAATCAAACAAGTTTCGTCAAATGATAATATAACAACTATACACCTTCAGAGATTGGACATGCACTCAGTGTAACAAACTATACTGCCAATCAAACAAGTTTCGTCAAATGATAAAATAACAAACTATAACCTTCAGAGATTGGACATGCACTCAGTGTAAGACAAGATCATTGGGAAAGATCATTGAAAATTGCTTCATATTAAAGAGGCAATTAATGTAATATTTAAGAACAAAAACATTCATGCAAATTTGATTCAATGATTTGTAAAATATTAAAAGCATCATACAGGCATTCACCTAAAGATAGCACCCAACAGGTATTTCAAAAGAAATTTCAAGGTGCTTCAAATTTCAGAAGCCAATCTATTTTGACATCTTATTAGACCACAAGTGCCTTAATAAGGCGAGTGCTTCTAATCTTTGCATGCAAAAAGAAAGCAAAAACCAATATCAACTACGAACAGAGTCACAGTTATAAAGCAAACGATCCAGATATGTAGAAACTATGCTCTTGTATAAATAAAAGGCCTCTGATTCACTGGTAGGGCGACTTTATAATAGAAGTTCACAATGTAAAGATCCTATTTTTCGGAAGTACTGAAAGGTTTACATCCACATGCAAAGTACCATATGCTCAAATGTCCAGCAATAACTAAATGAGAAAGATATTGACTTAGATACCTTTTTCTTGTCAGAGCTCTTGCTACTTGATCCGGACTTGCCTGCAGACGCAGCAGTAATTTTTCTGCCAACCTTTCTTGTAGTTATTGACCCCTGTCATCAAAACAAACTATAATTTGTTCACAGAAGGACTGCTTATTAATTGATTTTCATTTCTTTCTCCTTTTCCGGGCCACAATTTTTAACATAAGGATCCCAAGGAAATAGTGACCCATGTAAGTATTACTTAACATATTTGACTGCAGTATGTGTGACAGACATCTCATGGACAATACTGGTAAAATTGGATTTTAATAATTCAAGTGGAAATTTAAGAGGAAACCATGCAAATACTGCCAACAGTATGCCCATCCTATTTTAATAAAGTTGGATCACATAGGTGAAAGCTCAATGAGTTAAAAAAAATAAGTATATGAAAAATTGAAAGCACAAAGACTTAATGTCATATAAACAGGGGAAAGAACAAGATATAACGTGATCTTTTCCAAGGTAAAGTACCTGAGTTCCACTTTTGGCAGCTCGCTTCTGACGCACAAATTCCATTAGTGGTGTTACAACAGGAGTTTCCTTTGGAGCACCTGAAAAAGAATAAAGTGGAATCAATCACATTCATATTAGGGTGGCAAAAACTCATAAATAGAGTTCACAATTTTGCATTCCTTCTATCATAACTAACCAGATAGTTCAGCTTCTTTTCTCTCCAACTGAATCTCAGCACTAGGAAGATTCTCAACAGGTTTTGCAATCAACTTGAGAAATTCCAGATAATCAGGATCTAGTTAATTAAAGAAAAAGAAAATTCAGTACAAGATAACAAGTTATAACTGACACTTCGATGTTAGTCCAAAAAGCTTCCATTAAATAATATGACGAACAATAAACTCCTATTTAAAAAAATGCACCTTTGAAAATAGTCCCTTCACGACCATCCTTTTTATTGCTAGGATTTGGTACACGCTGTGAAGGAGCATATTCAACAATGGCCTTAAATTGAGTACCTGAAATAAGGGGAATCAAAATGATAAATTAGAATAGAAGGACCAACAGGTAAATTAAACTTGGGCAGTTAAATTAACATATTGCAATCAAATTGAACAAATGTAAACAACAATTGCATTTCATATATTTAGAAAGAATCATATAAACTGTCTAAAACAAGAAAAATGTGTCAGTACTCAGTAGTTCATAAGCATCATAA